TGTGTGTGTGTGTGTGTGTGTGTGTGGCCAGCTCAGCCCACCAGGGGGCGGGGCTGGCTGGCATGTGGTGCTGGGGGATCGAACTGCAGTCCCTGTGCTTTACCAAGCTTGTTCCAAGCAGGTGCTTTAGACCACTGAGCCATCTCACCAGCCCCTCTCGGGTCTGTTTGTGCTTGGGGGTGTCAAGCTGAGGGCGGGCTGAGTATTGAGGGTTAGGAAGCTTTGGGAGTACAAAAAGAGGCTCCTCGAATACACTGTCTTTGTTGGTACGAAACTGCTCACATCCCAGATGCGCGCAGCAGCACGTTGCCCACTTAGTTTCATCAGGGAAGTGCTTCAGGCTGCAGGCCAGCCCGGAGGTGGGCATCGCGTCGCCATGTCTGCTGCTTGCCGCCTGATGTCTTGAGTTATCTTTTTTGATGAAACATTTTGCAATTCGTAATTCAGGGTGACAAAGAACTACTTGGGACTATGTGGAGTGGTGAGAAAAGAATTGGTTGTTTATAGCCAACTCTGGGTCTTGGCAACTTTTGATTGAGCGATTGCCTTTGTTGTGCAGGCATGTGCTGCGTGTAAAAGGGGTGCCTCAGTAAAGGAGGTACTCCCAGGTGTGCATTGGAAAGCCAAGGGAGGCAGGGAGTGGGGTGTGGCAGTCTAGCACATTGGCATCCTGAAGAAGGGGAATAACACTTGGACATTTTCCTCCTTCCAGATGGACTCGGTGGCATTGGCATGGGGTTAGGACCAGGCGGGCAGCCTATCGACGCCAATCACCTGAACAAAGGCATTGGAATGGGAAACCTGGGCCCTGCAGGTGAGAATTGCAGTTCATCTTGGTTGGTGATTTCTGGGAAGTTACATTATTAAAGCTAATTATTTGGAATCGGATGTGGGGGAGCATGCCTGAAATCCCAATCACATGAGGCCAGGGAGATGGCTCAGAATAAGCACTTGCCTGACAAGCACAAGGGTCTGAGTTCAATCCCCGGTTCCGCAAAAAAAAAAAAAAAACAACTCAGGAGGCTGAGGCAAAAAGATGGCTGTGAGTTTGAGGCCAGCCTCAGCTACATATCAATACCCTGTCTCAAAAAGGAAAAAAAAATTGATATTTGAGTAGTTCAAATGGAATAAATGGGCTTTTTATGTTTGTTTTTGTACTGGGAATTGAATGCGGATTGTCATGCACCCTCAGTGAGTGTCTGCCCCTAAGCTGTATCCCCATCATTGGAAGAAAGATTTAACCAGGATAAAACTCCAAGTTTAATCTCAACCCCAGTTGGTTTTTTTTGTTGTTGTTGGTTTTTTGGCTTTTTTTTTTGGCGGAACCGGGGATTGAACTCAGATCCTTGTATTTGCCGGTCAAGCACTTATCCTACTGAGCCATCTCCCCAGCCCCCTTTTTTTGTGTTTTTTTTTTTTAACAGAACCAGGAATTATCACTCAGGTCCTTGTGCTTGTCAGGCAAGCGCTTATTCTATCTCCTCGGCCTCAGTTTATCATATTTTTTTTAACTTTTTTTTTTTTTAATTGGCACAAGTCTTTTATTTATTTATTTTATTTATTTATTTTTTTTGTGTGTGTGTGTGGCCAGCTCAGCGCACCGGGGGGCGGGGCTGGCTGGCATGTGGTGCTGGGGAATTGAACCGCAGTCCATGTGCTTCGCTAAGCTTGTTCTAAGTAGGTGCTTTAGACCACTGAGCCATCTCACCAGCCCTATCATATTTTTAACTGATTTGATTCCTCTGTTTTATAAAGCCACTAATCCTCTTCATTTTATCATCAGTGACTTTCTTAGCAAAGTTAGTTACATCATTTGATAAAAAGAGGCAAGCCAGAGAGTTGGTCATGCCCAAGGTCTCACTGTCAGTGACTTGACTGCGGGACTCCATTGGTGAGTCGCAGTACAGCTGCTGTACCTGTGAGCCTGTCGGCAGACTCTTAGGCACTCGCTGATGCTACCATGGCTTCTGGTGGAAGTTGGGCATCCATAGACATGGGAAGCTTTGGAGGGCTTCACAGGGACCAGTGGGCAAGAAGACAAGGAGGAGCAAATCAGTGGAAGCCCAGACATGGGGAGTACATGACTAAAACTTTGCTGTTTAGCATTTACTGTCTATATAATGATTTATTTTTTATTATTTATTTATTTATTTATTTATTTGAGATAGGATCTCATGCTATCAGGCTGGCCTTGAACTCAGTTCTTAGCCCAAGGCTGGCCTCGAACTCAGATAGTCCTACCTCAGCCTCCGAGTGCCATGTCCCGACCTGGTTTTTCTTGGAATAATCTGAGGTTGTGGTGTGGTGCACCAACCATACCACTGGCAGTTCTACACTTTGCTGGCCCTCTTGCCAGAGGTGAGCCCTGGGCCACTGCATTAGACGGGTCTACCAGTCTCTGCCGCACACACTTACTCTTCCCCACTTGCCTCGTGCCAAAGGAAAGACTAGGAATCTGGAGGGATTCTATGTTTTAGGAATGAACTTTTTATTTTGAGGATTTTACATAAAGCAAGAATTTTATTAAAAGTCCACTTTTATCTAAAATTCTGATAAGTGAATGTTCCGTTGATATACTTCTTGTGCAACACTGCCTGATTTAGTCATTTGATGAAACTGTAGAATACCGAACGGCAAGCCACATGATGATTATTGCTTAAAGGCTTGGTTGGATTGTTTGGAGTGTGACTTTTGCTAGTTTACAAGGAAGAACCCTCTTTTGTATTCAGACAAAACGTTAGTCATTACAGATTTTTTTGTTAAGTTTGGTATTGTACTTTATAAAGTTTAAACATAACTACTTTGTCATAATTTTACTTTGTATTGACTTTTTCTTTTTAAGGAATGGGAATGGAAGGCATCGGATTTGGCATAAATAAAATAGGAGGTAAGAAATTTAAAATAAAGTACAAATGTAGGGACTTTTAGGTATGGCTTTCTTCTTTTTCATCTTTTCTTTCTTATGTCTTAAGCCCTGCATGAGATTCTCACTCTGGTTTCTAAGGTTGAGCCTCGAGGTCCCGTTCCTTACCTGTCCATTGCTGCCGTGCTGCTGACCTTCAGCTCTGGCTTTTGCTAACCAGCTCTGTGACCTTTGGCAAATCACCCCATCTCTCTAGACCTCTTTTTGCTTGTGTGTTCATTGAGGGGGTTGGGTGAGATCCGCTTATTGAAGATGATGATTTTAATATAAAGGGCACCAGCATTTTTTCTTTCCAAAAGCCCTTAAATTTGGTAAGTTACTGGCAGAAAATGGCCTAGGTGGAAGACCTGGAGATTTTTCTTTCTCTGGTCAGCCTGATGTTTCAGTGGTGTGGTGCTAAAATGCAGACCTCTCTTGCAGGCATCGAGGGCCCCTTTGGTGGTGGCATGGAAAACATGGGGCGGTTTGGATCTGGGATGAACATGGGGCGGATAAATGGTAAGATGTGTGTTTCCTCCCTGCTGGTGCCCGCCCTCGCTGGCGTGGGCTCCCACAAGGTCTTCAGGGCGCACCGTACCACACTGCTGCTTTTCTACTGATCAGATGGTTACGTATTTCCAAGCTAGATTTCACTAGACTTGCGGTGTATTTTGTCACCTAAACTCTTTGATACAGCCAGAGCTCCAAATCTTCCTCAAGAATTTTCCAGTAAAATTCTAAAAGCCTTTTTATTCTCATTCAAAAGCTTATAGACATCTGTAGTTGTGTTTTGACCCAAAAGTGGTCTTGCATTCAAAGTTCCTGTCTTCTAAAGGTGCTTGGGGTAAGGTTTTGGTTCTGGCTTTTGTTTTTTGGTGGCAGTGGTACTGAGATTGAACCTTTACCCTGAGCTCCACCCCTTAGCTCATTTTTTTTTTCTGTTTTAATATATTTATTTACTTTTTAAAATTATTTTAGTACAGGGCCTCACTACATAGATTGGACTCATAGTGATTCTTCTGTTTTCAGCCTCCCAAGGGCTGGGATTTCATAGGCAGGCGCCACCATACCCAGTCTCATTTGCTGTCTCAGCCTGCCCTGGGGGTGGGGCTGGCATGACACATCAGGGATGGAACCTGTTTTTATTTTTATTCTATTTATTTATTTTTGAGGCAGGGTCTTGCTTTGTAGTTTAGGCTGGCCTTGAACTCATTTGAACTCAGAGCATTCTGCCTCAGCCTCCCAGGTGCTGTGATTATAGTTGTACACTACCATGCCTGAACTATTTTTTAGTTTTAAGTGTCTTGCTAAGTTGCTGAGGCTGGGCTGGAACTTGAGATCTTCCTCTGCCTAACCAAATGCTAGTTTTAAAGGCATGAGCTACCACACTCAACTATGGGTGAGAAGTTCTTAATTATCTGCTTGAAGACTCCCAAGTAGTGGGCAGGGTCCTACTACATAGCCCAGGCTTGAGGTGATCCTCCTGTTTTCAGCCTCCCTGGCACTGGGATTATAGGTGTGCACCACCATACTTGCTCTTGGTGGCGGCTCAGTGTGCCTGCAGGCAGGGCTGGCATGGCATGTGGTGGCCTAAGCAGGCACTTAGTCTGCTGAGCTATCTTGCCAGGCTCTAGGAAGGGTATTACTAAAAACTACACTCCTGTAATTTACTGTTTGCATGACACAAATGCTGGTGTGCTGCCATTGAACCTTTAATCCTCCTGACTGCTTAACAGGAGTATAATGATAATTCTAACTAACAGCATTGCCTTAACTCTATTCGGTGCTTGCAAGATCCACAGGACATGTAGGTACTGTTCTCCCCATTTTATGGGAAACTGAGGCACAGAGAGTGACTTGCCTAAGGTCACGAGGCTGGTAACTGGCGGTGCCTGGATGTGAACCCAAGCTGGCTCCAGAGCCTGGTTTTTCCCCATCATCTCTTAGAATTGCCTCCAGCCCAGCGTTAGCCCAGTGGTGAAAATTAACTGGATGTCTGTGTTTTTGAAATCCTCTCGAGTCCTGGTTGGCTTTGGCCCCTAGCTGCTGGGAAGTTGCTGCTTTATGTATAAACTATGGAATGGGACACTGCAGGATTTGGGTGGAAGTGTTTTCTTGCTGGTCTCTAGCAACGTGCTGATAGTATGAGGCGAGCAAGTGTCTACGAGGATCCGTGTTAGCTGTCTTGGCTTCAAAGGAGGATGTTCTGAGGGACAGGCTGCTGTGCGCTGTGTTGCAGGGTGAGGGGCCACGGCCTTTTGTCATTCCTGCTGCCTTGTCCTAGAAGGCAGTGAAAACAGTATGGGACGGTCATCACCACAGGCTGAGGCCTGCCTGAAGCGCGTGTGTGCATAGGAAGTGAGTGGACCCCGAGAGTTGGGGAAGTCTGGCTCCATCAGTTCAGAAGCACTCATCATTGATGAGAAAGCCATTACAGGTTGCTCAGAGCAGGGGAGATGGTGTAATTCAGGGTGGGGTCATGCCGGAAGCCGTGGAGCTTGGGACAAAGTCCTTGGTAAACTAGGCAGTGCAAACCCAGCAGTTAAGATCTGAGCTTGGTGCTGAGAGAGCAGGGCAGCAGGGTAGCAGGACACTTGGAAAACGAAGTGTGGAGTTAGGGCTGCTCTTGTTCCCAGGTGTCCTCACTACCCTGTCTGTCTTCACATAGGGAACAAGGCCTTCCTCACACTGGATCTGGGTTCTGATTTGGGTGGGATGAAGCCCAGAGGCTTGGGTGCTGTGTCTGAGGAGGGTTTAAATCATGATTTAAAAAGCTGAAAGACGTTTTATATTTTAGTCATGACGTGGCCCAGTTCCCATGTTAGGCTGACATTCTCAGGCCCGGTGAATCAGTCTGTATAGGTCAGATCTTGCCAGAGAATGACTAAACATTTTCAAGTGATTATCACATATCAAAGATTGGTATACTACTTGACAATGGGATTTCCCCCCCCCCCCCGAACTAGGCTTTGAACTCAGGCCCTTGAGCTTGCCAGGCAAGCGCTTATTCAACTGAGCTACCTCTCCAGCCCCTCTTTATTCTGAATAAGTTAGGGACTCATAGGAGTCCCTGCACTGTGGGCCTTGTTGACAGTTGAGATCATGTAAGGGTGTGCTTGTGATTAATTTCAGGACTTATCACAAGGGTTAAAAGGAGAGCAGCAGCTTCACTTTTTTTTTTTTTTTTGTATTTTGGGGAAAGGTCTACAGAATGTTCAGGGTCTCTCTACTAGATCGGAAACGTAGTGATCCTCCTGTTTACAGCCTCCCAAGAGCTGGGATTATAGGCGCACACCACCACGCCCAGTCTCAGTTGCCGTCTCAGCATGCCCCAGGGGTGCGGCCGTTGAGGCAAGCCTGGGGATTGAACTCCCAGCCCCTGTGCAGGCGCTTTAATCCGGTGAGCTATTTGGCCTGGCTGGCCCAGCAACTTCACTTTTTTTTTTTTTTGGTGGAGTGGTAGGCTGAATAGTTTGAGAGTAAGAAAGTTAGAATGGGGAGATGGGCAATACGTGTTTTCTTTTTCTTTTTGCGGTACTGGAGACCCTGCACTTGCCAGGCAAGTGCAAGTCTTGGGGTTCACTTGGCTTGATCGAGACTAGAAGCCTATCAGAGGTTGCTGGAGTCCTTGTAAATTTATAAAGCTACCCTGAGTCCATCTCCACATCTCTAATGCTTTTGACTTCATTGAAAGGGTAGTGATATGGGCTGTTTATGTAAAAAATGTTTTTTGTAGTTAATAAAAAGTGTCCCTTGGGCCGGGACAGTGGAAAAAGTGCTTCTCTGGCAAGCGCAAGGGCCTGAGCTCAATCCCTGATTCTGCCCCAAAAAAGTGTCCCTTACTCTGCACCTTTTTGCTGATACAGCAGTGCCTGTGTTTACAAACACTTGTTTGCAAACAAAACATGACCACATGAAAGTTTCTTTTCCAGAATCCTAAAAATGAGGCACTGCTGTGTTTCTGCAGAGTGAGATTAGTATTTATGATGTGGGATTCCTCAGAGACCTCCCCCCTGGGGCGGAGGCAAGTACAGTACGCAGAGTCGTGCATGGATGGGAGGGCTCTCCAGGAAAGGAGCAGCTAGTTACGGAGTCCCGGGGCTTTCTCAAGCGGTGGCCACTGAGAGTCGCCTTCTCTCTACAGAGACTCAGAGCCGTTTTTGAAAAACGACAGGGAAGTTGCCAAATCTCATCATGTAGCTAGTGAACGTCTCTGTGCAGTCAGATTTCTGTTTTGTTTGGATGCTCGTCTGCAGTGGTAGAGCAGCCTTTGCCGCATCTTCAGCAGGTGTGTGGCTTGGTCGCGCTCCCTCTCGTGGGTTCGCTCCCGTGGGAGCCTCGGTTTTGTTGTGCAGAGACCATGGTGGTGGTGGCAGGCAATGCAGGTGTGCAGATGGCCTGGTGTGTCAGCAGGCCCTTCCGTAGCCTGTCTGACAGGCTGTGCCTGGCAAGTGACCCACCAGGTACTGTGGGGGAGAGTGCCTGCTGTGGCTGCAGGTGAAGGCATGCTGTTGGCGGGATGCACCTGCGGTGCTTTTCATTTTCAAGGAGTAAGAGTTCCTGTCAGGGAGTTCTACACACTGACTTGGTGGTCGGTCTTGCATATCTGTAGCTTTCTTGGGGGGCAGGGGTAATATCTGAAGCACAATGCACTTTTCAGCCTAAGGTAGTATTTTTTTCCACAGAAATGAGAGTGTGGCGTGGGTGGACGATTTGATAGAGACATTGCCAGAAATGAGATGGGCATATCTTGGAGCTTTGGAGAGCCCCTTGGCAGGGGAATGGGTAAGCCGGCCCCGTGGCCCCATGCAGGCGGGGCTCCTGGGCTGCCCGCTGCCTTTTCAGGCACAACCGATCTTCCTTAGGCTTTTATAAAAAGATTGTGTTTTCTGGTCTTTTTGTTCTGTTAAGTTACTGGCATGAAAAGAACTGCCTTTATTTTTAAAATGGCTTCTTTTTAAAGAACTGGTATAAGGTTCTGGCATCCAGTGCAGATGAAAACTGCTGCGTTTACTGCACCGTGTTGGCTCCCTTGCCCTGTCCTGGTTTTTCAAGGGCCTGCTCAGTGGGCAGGGGTCTCCTCAGGACCTGCAGGGCGGTGCTTTGCAGGGTGGAGTCATGTGCTTGCTGCTGGCTGTGGAGGGGCTTTAGCTAGACCAGGGAAGCTGTTGGACCCTGGAAGGCCTTGGGGTTGAGACCTGTCCCGGTGCAGAGAAATTCTTCACCGGCTTGAGGTCGATAGCAAAGTACTTTCTTTTCTGTTGATGTTGTCTTTATTTAAAAGTCCAGGTGGTGATGAAGATCTCTTCAGTTGCATTTTCCTTCCTCAGTGGGGAGCAAGGAGTGTGGCTGTTCTTGGTCCTTCAAACATGTCTTAGAGAGGGCGAATTTGTCCCACCTTTGCCTGTCCCATCCTGTAGGTGAGACAAGTAGTAGTAGGTGTGAGGCTACGGGCTGTCTGCACCAGAGTCTTAAGGTGCTTAGTCTCTGTCCCCACAGGACGCCTGGGGCTGGGCCGCAGCATCCTAAGCTTTCCACATCGAGTTGATGTTGTCTGTGTTCTTAGACTTCATGAGGGCCCTGGCAAGATCATCTTCATATTAATCATTCAGCTCAGCACTGTCCCCTTTAGGCTGGCTGCAGGCCTGTCTGCTACAGGGTGTTCTTTGCTGAAGTCAGGAATGCTGAACTGTTTCCCAGAGTGGGCTGTTGCTTGGTCATAGCTTTTTTTTTTTTTTTTTTTTTTTTTTTTCTTTTTTCTTTTTTCTTTTTTCCTGACCACAGTTAGGTAACTTAAGTGGGGTTTGTGGTGTGTGTGTCTGTCTTACTGGGCTGCTAGTGAAGCTGTTCTTTACTTGCTTGCTCTGATTACATTTACTTTACTCCATATTGTTCTAGAACTTTCAAATTTGGGGCATGGGGCTGGGGAGATAGCTCAGTAGAATAAGTGTTTGCCAGGGAAGCACTTATTCCACTGAGCCATCTCCCTGGCCCCTCAATCCCTGGTTCTGCAAAAAAAAAAAAAAAAATTGGTCTCCAAAACTGGGGCAGAATGGGCTGGTGAGATGGCTCAGTGGTCTAAAGCACCTACTTAGAACAGGCTAAGCTAAGCAAAGCACAGGGACCATGGTTCAATCCCCCAGCACCACATGCCAGCCAGCCCTGCTCCCTGGTGGGCTGAGCTGGCCACACACACACACACACACACACACACACACAATAAATAAATAAATAAATAAATAAATAAAGTAAGTTTAAAAAAAAATAAAAGCAGTTCCTCAAAATTGGGGCTGAAGTTTCTATCTGCATGTGACTGGTGAGGTTAGTTAAAGGTTATCCTGTTACCTTGTTGGCATAACTGGCTTCATTTTATGTCTAGGAATAGGGTTTTTTTAAAAAAAATATTTTTAAGATTCACTGTCCCTTAGCCTCAGGTGCTAACTTGTGGCTGGCTGTGGCAAGAGCAGGATGAGCTTTGACTTTGCACTGTGGATACTCTTGCTCCTGGCTTTCCTTACTGCCAGGCCGTGGTACCTCGCTCCTCTGGTAAGGCTGAACTTTGGTGACAGGAAGTTGGCCTGAGTGGGAACTTCATCAGCAGGGCTTGCTGGTTCCCGCTGCTTGAGCATGAAAGGAACCCTTCTGATTAGGGCAGTGCAGGCCTCCGTCCTAGAGTGAGACCCAAGGCAGTGAGATGGTACTAAGCAAATAGATTATTTAACCTGGGAGCTGACTGGTTCGGTGGTGTTGATTTGGCCTGCATCGTCAGGGAGCTACTTTCTGTAGCACCTTCCTGTTCAGTGTCCCTGTGCATATTACAGCAGTAGGGCTTTGTGCAAACAACTGGACTTGGAGCTTTGATGACAGAGATAGGTCTTTTGCCCTTGACTTTGACAGATGTGGTATAGCTGAAGAGATGAGACTCCCAAGTGGCCAGGCAAGCCCCAGACTTGGTGCTGGGAAGAGGGCTAGGGAGGGAGTTATAGGAGACATGACTTCGTAGGCCTCCAGCAGCCGTGCAGGCAGCGTGTGGGGTATATTAGTACTAAAGGGCCTCTCTGGACTGCAGGCCACGGGTACGCCGGCACACGGGGCAGACTGGCTCAGGTCTGGCAGGGAGGGGTGGGCAAAGCACGGGTTCAAGTTGAGAGTTGGCTCGCTGATGCCCCTGGGAAGAATTTGGTGGATTTTTTCTTCAAATATATGGTGTGCTCATTTAAAGCTCTTGCAGGGAGTGGCTCCATCTGCATGCTGTCTTGGGAAAGCAAAGTGGACAGAGAGAAGCGCACTGGTCTTGGTGTGCTTTCTCACTTCCCTCCTCTTGGCGGAGCCCAAGAGACAGCATGGGCAGCTGTGCAGCTGTGACAACCATGTGAGGTGCGTTTTGAGGCCATACTCCAATTGCTGGTACTTGTTGGGATCACAGAGGTTGAGTGTGTGTTTCTCCCATTGAACAAGAGACTGAAGAGAAAATTTAAAAGGTGACATTAGTGACAGCTTTAGACAGACTTTAGGGGAGGTTTGGATGAGCTGTTGGCCATCAACCAATAGTGTTTCCTGCTAGGACATTTGAATGTGCCGGGTGCTTTTGTTTCCTGGGGTTTCGTTTTGTCAGTCACCATCAGCCCTCATTTCAGGCGGGGTTGGCAAGTCAGGTTGCTGCATATGGGTCATGTTGTCAGCAGTGGCCGCAGGCTGCCCGCGTTCACTTTCAGGTCATGATAGTTCTAGCCTTCACTTGCTGTGCCCAGAGAGGTGTTACATGGCTGCATGCATGCAGTCCTCTGAGCCCAAGTCCCTGGAAAGGCCTTAGTGTCCTGCCCACGAGAGGTGGGGAAGCTTCGGAGCTGAGGGTCTAGGTCAGCTATGGGCAAGGGCTAAGGGCCCCAGTCTTGCTCAGACTTCTGTGTTTGGCTCATGGATGCACACAGTCCCTCGCTGTGCTGGACGCATTCACAGATGACCCCCCAGTGGGGCCTCAGGCTCTGGAGCTACATGGGATCCTAGCACTGTGACTCATCAAGGGTCTTCAGTTTTCTGTAAAATGATCTTGTCTGTGTGTACTTTTCTCAACCCCTTCCCCTTTTCCCTTTTTTCTTTTTTGAAAAAAATTAGCATTTCTATTCAAGAATCTAATAAGCAAGTTTCTATTGCCGTAGAAAAATTTGGCTGATTATTTTTTCTTCCTGATTTCCATAGAAATCCTAAGTAATGCACTGAAGAGAGGAGAGATCATTGCAAAGCAAGGAGGAGGTAGGAAACATTTACTTTGATGTTTTGCTTTTTTTTTTTTAGAACCGGGTGCTGTCATGGGGGCAGACGTGGAGGGGGTTACATGGCTCCTGCAGTCTGCCCAGGGTGGGAGTCGGCTCTGCCCCTTCCTAGCTGTGGGGTGCATGGCGAGTTACTGAGCCTGTTTTTTTTCTCTGCTAGTCTGTAAACGGGGAGGCAGTAGCACCTCCCTGAGAACGTTCTGATAAAAGGTACAGGAGCCAGAGCACTGAATGAGTGCTTATGTAAGTTAGCTGTGCGCAGTGCCAGGTACTCTTGCAGGTTGGGACTTTCTTGTTTTCCAGGTTCTGGAATTAAAAATTCCTTAAGTAAACAAACATTGGCTTTACCTAGCTTGAACTGAAAGTAATACTCCCTAATACATTGCTCGTGATTACTAAAATTGGCCTTTGAAGGAAGACTGTGAAAGTCCACTGGGACGATTGGGCGGTGGGGTGGGTAAGTGGAAGAGAAGGTAGCAGGGAGGGCAGGTGTGACCAAAGGACAACACGTGCATCAATAGAAATGTCAATAGAGAAGCTCATTATTGTTCAGCTAATACATGCTAAGAGTTACAGTACTAAAATGCAGGTGTACTCATTACGAAAGTCCAGAACATGCTGCTCACCACCCGGTTGTGAGCACTGTAAATATTCCGGCGAGCGCCCTCTTGCCTTCCCATGAGCGCACGCTTCCAGGCTCGTAGAGCCACCTGCTCTCCCAGCCTGTTTTCTCCTCAGGGCTCTGAGGGCACAGTGTGGCACCCCTGCTTGCTGGGTGTTTTCTGTGGCACCTGCTGTAGAGCTGCTCCCCTGGGCGCTCTTTGTGCTGCTGCTGGCATTCGTGCCAGCCGCGTTCCTGCTCCTGCACCTTTTTGTCTTGGAATATGAGGGAGTGAGACACTTGCTGAACCACTGCTGTTCTGAATGGAATGCTCTTAAAGTTGGGCTTTTTGGCCACTTGGTTTGATGCCACTGTTGAGCTAAGTAAGTGGGCACATGGGGTAGGGACCTTACAGCAGGTCGCAGCCTTAGCTGTAGAAACTGCCAGGTTGCCTCGTCCTGACTTGGCATCTTGGACTGGGCTGCCTGGGTGGGTCTGGCCTGGACGACACCACGTTCAGAGGTAAGAGGGTTAGGCCCTGCCTGTGCAGAGCTGCTGCCCTCACAGGAAGATGCTGCTGACTGCTCACGGCCAGGCCACCCCGAGGGCACCCTGCGGAGGCCTCGGCGTCTTCCTCCTGAACCTGCAAACCTAGACTCAAGGTGGTTTGCACTTTCCCAGATAGAGTAAGGTCCCAAGGGGTGCTCACTGTGTGCTTTTATACATAGGCTCTGTATCAGTGTCTGTGTTTTAATTTCTTTCACCTCTGCTTGATTACATGCCTGTGTAGTCTCTCTACGCCTTGCTAAGTTGCTACAGAAATGGCCCCACATTGACTACCCAGAGGGCATCAAGAGGGACAGGTCAGGAGAGAAGAAAGCTGCTGAGTGACTATATAGTCTCCAAGCGTCTGAGTCACTCCTCGTCACTGGGCAACAGTAGTTAGAGCAGGAGAGGTTGATTTTGGCTCATGTTTTTAGCCCACAGTCACGCAGTTTCAAGGCCCAAAGACATGGAGAAGGCTGTGGGTGGAGGAAAGCCGCTAACAGCAGGCTGGTCTGGAAACAGGGAGACCGACTTTCCAACCAGGTCTCCTCCCTAACAGCTGGCCTGCTGCATTGACCCTGGAGTCCAGCCACCTTTTGCACGCCTGGCCTTCGTACAGGAGGCTTTAGGGGACATTGGCGTCTGAACCATTGCACCATCTTAAATTTTGTTAGTATATATTAACGTACGAAAGAATTGTCTTAATGAATCATTAGTTTTTATAGGGCTGAATTTGGTTGAGCTTGTGAGTGGCAGTACCTAGGCATGGCATAGTATGCGTGTGCTTGCACATGTTCTGACTCCCTGTTTTGTGTGCCTCTTACAGGTGGAGGTGGAGGCAGTGTCCCTGGGATTGAGAGGATGGGTCCTGGCATTGACCGCCTTGGGGGTGCCGGCATGGAGCGCATGGGCGCAGGCCTGGGCCACGGCATGGATCGCGTGGGCTCTGAGATCGAGCGCATGGGCCTGGTCATGGACCGCATGGGCTCTGTTGAGCGCATGGGCTCTGGCATCGAGCG